TAGAGAAAGTTACATATGGGGAAAATCCCAGAACATAGAGAATAACGCACAAAGCATATATATGTATTTTATAAGAAGAATAGGAGAAGTGATGATATGATCTAACCGAAGGTGAAGATCATAACAGCTTCCGTAATTACGAAAAAAAGAAATAAACAAGCAGAAAGGGAGAGCAAGAAAACTTGATCAATCCCTTTCTGCGCAAGCAGCTTTTCATGTGCTGCTTTCTCACTGTACTTATGACTGACTGAGTAGCGTGGTACCTTCTCTGCATCTGTTGAGATATTTTTATCGGTTGCCTCTTTCCGTATCTTTTCTTTTTACATTGCGAAAAACATAAGTAAATAGTAGGCTACTAAACCTCTTTTTTAGGGGTTTGGTAAAATGCAATGACACGCTACCGCTTTCAGGTTTAGTAGGCTACTAAACCTCTTTTTAGGGGTTTAGAAAAATGCAATGACACGCTACCGCTTTCAGGTTTAGTAGGCTACTAAACCCTAAATGGTTTTTTACCAAACTTTTGAAGTGGTAGCGTGTCATTGCGTTTTACTAAACCCTTTTTGGGTTTAGTAAACGACGCTTTTTTTTTAGTGTGTATGGACAGCCAATTAAATTTATGTGGAATTTCAATCGTTCGTGCTGGTGAGAGTATGGAATTCGGTTTACGTTCGTTGATACCTGACATTCCAATTGGTAAAATTTTAATTCAACGTGATGAATTTACACAAAACAAACAAGCTAAGCTCTTTTATACCAAACTTCCAATGAATATAACACAAGCAAAGCAAATATTTTTAATGGATCCAATGCTGGCTACTGGTGGAAGTTGTATACTAGCAATAAAAACGCTTATTAAATTCGGTGTTACTATCCAACAAATTACTTTCATTAATTTGATTGCGTGCCATGAAGGACTAGAGCGTGTATATGCAAAATATCCACAACTGAAGATTGTTACGAGCTTTGTCGATCAGGGATTGAATGAAAACTGTTATATTCTGCCAGGAATCGGCGACTATGGCGATCGGTACTTCGGTACTGTTACTCCGTGATACAGAAAGTTACAATTGAAGAATATTTTATCTTACAATATCGAGCTTTTGATGCCACTTGCATTGCTATCAGGCAAATTTCAACTGAACGAAAAATATGGAAAAAAGAAATCAGAGATTGTTTTTGCGTTCTTATATTATTTTGAATGATAAATCAAATGGCTATGAATACTTGAAGTTATCCTTCCTTATGTAAAAGTTTTTCATTTCATTGTATGTTATCGCCTTGTGTTCATGTGTTAATAGTGTCTCTTTTAATTGTCTTCTTAACGTTCTTTTCATATGCTAAGAAGCTCAGTTCATTTAAGATGAGTTGATGATCATTTTGTATAACATGTAGAGATGCCATTACATACAAAGCTTGTTTTTCGATAATGGATGAAGGTGTTGCTACATTTTATTCAAAAGAAGCGTTATTCATTCTAGAAGCTAGTATCGAATTAAAAACGGCTTGTTTTGCCCATATAGCAGATTGCGTGCGATATGTATTGAAAACGAAGTGTTGTTTAATTTGGCATCCGTATTCAGAATAAAAGATGTCATCATCGGAAAAAATGGTCAATGACAAATATATTTAAAAGCAACGGACGAAGGTACAGATATGGGAAATGATTATATTAATTTGATAAGATCAGAAGCAAATAAAAAAAACGAATATCATTGTTATATTCGGAGGGTTGCTAACATCAATAGGTGAATATAAAAAAAGCACAAGAATATCTTCGAAACTGAGAACAATCGATGATAAACGATAATTTGACTGGTGATAAAGCAAGTGTGAACTATTATATTGCACTCAACTATTATCGCGTTGGTGACTATGATAATACAGTAATCTATTGGGTTAAAACATTATTGTATTCTATACAATATTAGAGAATTCAGGGCTGAGCAACTCCGCTGACTTTCAACTCCAACTCCACTCCAACTCAACTCCGTTTTCAAATTTCCTACTCCAACTCTAACTCAACTCCGCTCAAAATTTTTCAACTCCAACTCCAACTCTCTCAACAAAAATCTCAACTCCAGTTCAACTCCGCGGCTTGCCCACTCGAGACTTCGCTGTTCAAGTTTTTGAAAAAGTTATTTTAGAGTAGAACTGAGAGGAGCATATCACTAGATGCAGTTTCTGGCGCTGATTACGAATTTCACATTAGTTTTTTTTAAAAGTTAAATTTTGGCACGAAAAATCCAGTTTTACATTTTTTGAAAACTGTATTTTCAATTTCCTCACCTAGACACTTTTCCTAATAAAAATGGAACCCCATACTAATCGATGGAGAATTCGATTCTCTACAAGATGATATGTTTCTTTTGAAGTTTAGATTCAAAACAAGTTTTCAATAAAGTTTTAAGTTTAAGATTCTCACACAATTCTAAGAAGGTGAAAACATTTTTTCGGCTTTATTTTCACCCTAGTCTATATCAGATGCCTAAAACTAAGTTCGATGCGAAAATGAAATCCTTTGAGCAATGTTTAGTGCTCCAAACTTTGTTGGGAAAAACGATTGTCACAGCGTCACGACGATAAAACACAATTATTGAGGAACGGAAAGCTCATTGGAAAGATTCTTTTTAGCAATCAGTAGCTCGTTTACTCCTCTACAAATTTTGCTCGCGGCGCTTTTATTAGCTCTTCTAAATTCGCAGCAAGTAAGCTTTTAATGAGAAGCACTTCGAATTTAGGGCCTTTTTTTGTCACAGCGTCACGCGCCGAAAAACGGTTCTAAAAATTCGAGTCTTTAACCACATACCTTCATTTTTATACCCAAAGTAGAGTATGGCGAGCTCCGTCGAATGGCGCAAGAACGAAGTTTCTAGCTGTTACACTTTTTGAGAAAAGCTCAAATTACTGTGTCAAAAATGTTACAGCGTCACGCTTGGACAAGCCGTCCGGTTGCTTCACTTTTGTACGGAAGATTTTTCGATTCTTAGCAGGATTCTGGGCGCTTTTGAGCTTTTTCCGGCAAGAAAGCGCAAAGAACTTCCGAATTCACTCGTGAATACGGCCACTCAATCGTTTAGAAGACCCGTTCACAACTATTCAATATTTCCAAAAATGCAAAACGGAGTTGAGAATAAATATTCAAAAACCCAACTCCAACCTACTAAAATCTCAACTCCAACTCCGCCAAAGTCAACTCCGACTCCAACTCCAACTCCAACAAAAAAATCCTCAACTCCGGAGTTGGAGTTGCCCAGCCCTGAGAGAATTCTAAGTATCTTATAGAACAGTACCTGAGTTGTGAATGATCCTCCTCTTTCTCCTCTTTTCCCGTCATTTTTCCTCTTTTTCGATGATTTTGTTACAAAAATGCCTGTGTTTTAAGCAATTTCAGATTCGAATGTAGTTTTTTTCTCCCCTCTACTTAGAATTTTGCTGCTTTTTTTTTAGAGTTGAAAGTTAGCCCACTTTTCTGAAAGCTCTTGTACTGCTATGTGATCTTACAGAAAAAATGCACACCCCTCCTGCTTTTTTCTCTCGCCACGTCACTGCATAATTCAGGTATGAAATCGTGAATAAATTAGGTGAACATCTCAGCAGTGCCGTGTCTTATCACCTCCGAATTTACTACAACGCATAGAGACCTGCAATACAGTTTTAGATCGGAAAAAATCCTCTTTTTTCGACACTAATCCTCTCAAAAAATTTTTAGAAAATCCTCTTCTATCCTCTTTTTTTCAAAAATGACCG